ATTCTTCTTCCCTCTTTTTTTATGTAATCTATTTTTATATGTAATTTATTTACTAGTGCATTCAGTGCTATTAGTGCTATTTGTAGAGAACAATGTTTCATCAGTTTTTTGGTTATATTGAGTTGTTATTCTTGGATCTGCCACCAGATGTCAGTATAACAACAGCAACAGTAGGTTCTGGTTGTCAGTGTTCAAGAGAAGGGTAATTTATAAAAAAAATAGTTAGAATACAGTTTTTGTACAATAAAAATAATTATAGTCATTATAAAGATTTGAAACACTCAATTTTCCATATGTCTGTTTGTTATCCCTACCCAATTGACATGACTTTCCATACAGGTGCATTTCCTAGAAGCATTATTAGCCACCTAAAGTCATAACTTTCAACATTACTAACATAGCTCAGCGATTTTGCATTTTGTGAAACCACAGTTACAACGAACATCCAACAAACTTGTATGGTTGGCGCTACAGTTCTTGACCTGTGGTTAGAAGCATAGTTTGTGGACGTAAATAGATCATGCTCTTGTGCATAAGAAACAAGCAAACATGAAATATATTCTATACTCTATACATTTGTCTCTGAAAGTGGGATTATTTAACTTTTTTCCCCTAATATTATTCCCAGGCAAGCAATGTCACCTGTAACATTATATATGTAATCATATATAAAGTTTTCCTGTCTCTCTGTGATACTAAACCTGACATGTAAAGTAATGTCATATTTTGTTTGTTGGACAAATTCAAGTAATATACCATATCACCACATTGTGAGCTAGAGGAAAAACCCAAACTTTTGGCATCCTCAAACATCTGTGGGTAAATTTTCCACCAAGTTAGAAGTTGTTAGTAGACAAGGAAGTAGGTCTATACAACAAATACATGCACAGACAGAGTTAAAGCCCCAGGGCAATTTGGCCAAGCCTTAACTGTGAGTGGAAGTTCCACACCCTTTTTCCCCCCTAAAAACCAGTTTGCACTCATGTTCTGTCTTTTAAGACTGACTTTAAGCTCAATTCAAAGTACTGTCAAACTCTATCAAACAGGGGAGAGAAACACACAGGGAAATACGATGTTATAATCTTTCCACTTAAAAGGTCTGTATAAAAACTCTGTAACCATCATATGCTATGTCTTTTTGATCATTTTTCATCCTAATTAAGCAGCAACTTAACTCAATTACAGCCATTCTCTATCAAATCACTATTAACCTCCTGGAATAGAAGTGCCCTCCATTAAGAGGTGTTTTAACCATTGTTATAGCTGTTGAAATTTGGATACCATTTTTTTCTATACAGATTTTTGCTATACGATTATCTTTTTCGTGTTTGCAAATATACTGGCATTTTGAGTAATTCAACAGTACGGTAGATACAAGTGAATAATGCTTTTAATGTCATCATTAATCACAGGACACTAGCTGAGCACTAAACAGCAAACCAATTTTTTTCTAAAAGCATTTTTGATTCAAGCTTTTGTCACATTTGACCAAAGTTATTGTCCTTGTAAATGAGCCGCTTTGTGATATCACAAAGCCCGGAAAACAAACACTGTAGTCCAAACGAGCCGTTTGTTGTAGTTCTTGAAAAGGGATTTAAAAAAAACGAAATATCTCCCTTTGGAATGGACTTTGAGATTTGTAACTTTCTAGATCTTTTTTATGCCCAAACATACACACTACACACTGACTAAAATTAAAAAAGTGAAAAAGCATAATAGGACCCCTTTAAATGTTGATAAAACAAAATGTATGTTGTTTTCTAAATCAAAATCAATCCCTCAATCTTCTATTACTACTTCCCAAGGTTCGGAGATTGAGTTTGTCTCTCAGTATACTGCATTTATGATTAATATAAATGATAAATTAATAAATAGATTATAATTAATGTTATTAATTACACCCTATTAATTCATCTGTCTAATAATGTCTAAAAAATATAGTCATTATGTCTACCAAGCTCTGATAATGTATAGAATATTATAATAACAGACTATCCAAATTTTAATAAAACAATAGGCCTATACCTTTAGAAACACAGATGTGTCTGTCAATTTAAAGGTATGGTTAACTCAAAAATGAAAGTTCTGTCATAATTTACCCAGGTTATTCTAAACCTGTATAAAGTTCTTTCTTCTGTTGAACACAAAAGAAGATACTTTGAAGCATGTGGGTAACCAAACAGTTTCTGGTCCCCAATGACTCTTTACTATGGAAGTTACTGAGGACCAGCAGCTGTTTAGTTACCCACATTCTTCAAAGTATCTTATTTTGTGTTCAACGGAAGAAAGAAATTTGTGGGTGTGTAAACGATGACAGAATTTTCATTTTTGGGTGAACTATCCCTTTAAGTCACACAGTCCACTGTAAGCAACTGAAATGCTTCTCTGCAAACTGCGCGTTCTAGAGACTCCGTCGCTATGGAAACAAAGACGCCAAAATACAATCACGCGCAAATGAGCTTCTCTAATACTTCTTATGAAATTGATTACTGTATATTATAACTGCTATTAGTATTATAAACAGTGCAAAATACATATTAGTTTATTCAAATATGTGTTGGCCTTTGTAAAATATGGGACAAATCGTGTTCCATATTGATTTGATACGGGACGCATAATTTTACCTTTAAATACGGGACGACTGGCAACCCTACTTGAGAGAGATGCTGAATTGATCACAACCCTCTCACTTTATTCTTCTTCCCTCTTTTTTTATGTAATCTATTTTTATATGTAATTTATTTACTAGTGCATTCAGTGCTATTAGTGCTATTTGTAGAGAACAATGTTTCATCAGTTTTTTGGTTATATTGAGTTGTTATTCTTGGATCTGCCACCAGATGTCAGTATAACAACAGCAACAGTAGGTTCTGGTTGTCAGTGTTCAAGAGAAGGGTAATTTATAAAAAAAATAGTTAGAATACAGTTTTTGTACAATAAAAATAATTATAGTCATTATAAAGATTTGAAACACTCAATTTTCCATATGTCTGTTTGTTATCCCTACCCAATTGACATGACTTTCCATACAGGTGCATTTCCTAGAAGCATTATTAGCCACCTAAAGTCATAACTTTCAACATTACTAACATAGCTCAGCGATTTTGCATTTTGTGAAACCACAGTTACAACGAACATCCAACAAACTTGTATGGTTGGCGCTACAGTTCTTGACCTGTGGTTAGAAGCATAGTTTGTGGACGTAAATAGATCATGCTCTTGTGCATAAGAAACAAGCAAACATGAAATATATTCTATACTCTATACATTTGTCTCTGAAAGTGGGATTATTTAACTTTTTTCCCCTAATATTATTCCCAGGCAAGCAATGTCACCTGTAACATTATATATGTAATCATATATAAAGTTTTCCTGTCTCTCTGTGATACTAAACCTGACATGTAAAGTAATGTCATATTTTGTTTGTTGGACAAATTCAAGTAATATACCATATCACCACATTGTGAGCTAGAGGAAAAACCCAAACTTTTGGCATCCTCAAACATCTGTGGGTAAATTTTCCACCAAGTTAGAAGTTGTTAGTAGACAAGGAAGTAGGTCTATACAACAAATACATGCACAGACAGAGTTAAAGCCCCAGGGCAATTTGGCCAAGCCTTAACTGTGAGTGGAAGTTCCACACCCTTTTTCCCCCCTAAAAACCAGTTTGCACTCATGTTCTGTCTTTTAAGACTGACTTTAAGCTCAATTCAAAGTACTGTCAAACTCTATCAAACAGGGGAGAGAAACACACAGGGAAATACGATGTTATAATCTTTCCACTTAAAAGGTCTGTATAAAAACTCTGTAACCATCATATGCTATGTCTTTTTGATCATTTTTCATCCTAATTAAGCAGCAACTTAACTCAATTACAGCCATTCTCTATCAAATCACTATTAACCTCCTGGAATAGAAGTGCCCTCCATTAAGAGGTGTTTTAACCATTGTTATAGCTGTTGAAATTTGGATACCATTTTTTTCTATACAGATTTTTGCTATACGATTATCTTTTTCGTGTTTGCAAATATACTGGCATTTTGAGTAATTCAACAGGTAGATACATTTTAAGACTGACTTTAAGCTCAATTCAAAGTACTGTCAAACTCTATCAAACAGGGGAGAGAAACACACAGGGAAATACGATGTTATAATCTTTCCACTTAAAAGGTCTGTATAAAAACTCTGTAACCATCATATGCTATGTCTTTTTGATCATTTTTCATCCTAATTAAGCAGCAACTTAACTCAATTACAGCCATTCTCTATCAAATCACTATTAACCTCCTGGAATAGAAGTGCCCTCCATTGAGAGGTGTTTTAACCATTGTTATAGCTGTTGAAATTTGGATACCATTTTTTGCTATACAGATTTTTGCTATACGATTATCTTTTTCGTGTTTGCAAATATACTGGCATTTTGAGTAATTCAACAGTACGGTAGATACAAGTGAATAATGCTTTTAATGTCATCATTAATCACAGGACACTAGCTGAGCACTAAACAGCAAACCAATTTTTTTCTAAAAGCATTTTTGATTCAAGCTTTTGTCACATTTGACCAAAGTTATTGTCCTTGTACTGTTAATCTTTACGAGATCAGTGGACAATCTTAGATACCAATTTGCTCAATTGTTTCTTTAGATTTACATTCAGTTTTATCTCCCATGTATAGTGTCTCACTGGAAGATTTTATAGCCATTCAAATGTTATTTGATTAACTTAACTAAATATAGAATTACTGGTCCAACCTGACTCTTGGAACAGCAGAACAACACCTTCAAAACATAACAAGGCTTCTAAGCCACTCTCTTCACGCCATTTATTAAACAAACACCATAAGCACTGAATGAGGATCACACTACCGTACCTCTTGATTATTATAACAGATTATTAACATTCGTATTCTTATCAACATTCTAATTAACATTCTTACATTCTTTAACTTTCAAGAATGAATTAATATTTAAGGTATTTGTACAAACTTTGCAGTTTAAAACATGGCTACTCGAGACTCTGCGGTCGATGAGGCAATAACTGCATCATGCGAGTCTACATGGGAACGGGCTACAGCAAAAGCTAAAGACAAAATTTACGAGCTCGTAAATGTCTCACTTATCATCGCTGTGACTGGAAAGACAGGAGCTGGGAAATCTTCCTTTATAAATGCACTTAGAGGTCTACGTAAAGATGATGATGGATTTGCTCCTACTGGAGTCACAGAAACTACAATGAAGCCCACCATGTATGAGCATCCTGGAATGCCAAATGTGAAGATCTGGGACCTGCCTGGAATAGGAAGTCCAACTTTCAAAGCAAAAAAATACCTTAAAGATGTCAAATTTAACACCTATGATTTCTTCATCATCTTGAACTCGGAGAGGTTCATGGAGAATGACGTCATGCTGGCTAAAGAAATAAGAAAATGCAAGAAAAGCTTTTACTTTGTTCGTTCTAAGATTGACAATGACATCCGTGCAGAGCAAAAGGAGAACAAACGATTTGATAAGCTGAAAGTGCTTGCCAAAATAAGAGAGGATTGTCAAAAAAACCTACAAAAAATGGGAAACCCCAAAGTTTTCTTGATTTCCTCTTTTTTCTTGGATAAATATGATTTTGAAATACTTCAAAACACACTAGCAGAAGAGCTCCCAGAACATAAGAGATCTGCTCTTCTACAAGCCTGGCCTGTGTGCTCTGCTGAATGTCTTGAGAAGAAGATCAAAATGTTTAAAGGTCTGATCTGGGCTGTATCTCTTGCCTCTGCTGGCATAGCAGCCGTCCCTTTGCCTGGACTATCAGTAGCATGTGATACAACTATTGTGTTGCTTTTCCTCACCAGATGCTACTATGCATTTGGTTTGGATGACAGATCACTGAAAAGGCTTACAGAAAAAGTAAGCAAGCCCTTGCTGGAATTTCGGGACAAATCAAAGATGGCTGCTATGATAAAAAAAAAGGCAATAATCACAATAAATACCTGTGTTGAGGTTGTAACACTTGCTACCTTGAAAGATTTGTTGAGTCTCCTTCCAGGTGTGGGCAGTGCTGTTGCTGCAGTGTTGTCCTTTGCTTCTATTCAGTACCTTCTAAGAGAAGGAGTAAATGAACTGGCAGCAACTGCTTTCGAAATTAGAAGAGCAGCTGGGCTAGACACAATGTAATATTTTTTTTCTTGAGAATGTAAGTGGTCTTATAGAGCTTTTTTTTGTGCCTTTGTCATTTATTATAATATATACGATATTGTTTTTTAACATTGTGTGTTAATGTTGGAATTAGAAAAGGGACTTCATACTTTCAAAAGAATAGATGCTAATGTGCATGTAAACTAAATACAAGAATATATGATTAATTATTAATAATATCACTTTAGTTCATTATTTTGTGTTCAGTTTCATTGCTGAAATCTGTTTGTTTTTTATTTTACATATATAATATTGCTGTGGCATATAGGGTTGCCAACCCTCCCGTATTAGTCAGGATGTCCCGTATTTTGGGCCTAATTGATTTGTCCCGTACGTGACTTCCCTTGTCCCGTTTTTTGACTGCTACGCTGATCTAACCACTGACTGATACAACAGCAGCAGTGCTGATCACTTGAGAATGATCACGATACCTGTCATCATCCAATCACAGCCCCCCTCACGCAGTATACGTTAAGTAAATCAGAAATCGTGAACATAACTGTTCCGAGGAAGGCTGCGTAATCCTCTGCCGGCTCACAGCAAGCGGTGCTCACGCTAACGCCAATTCCGTCTGTGTTTTCAGTTCAGTAAATCAGTTTTGGTGAATACAAACTACGTGATTATTTTTCATGAGTCCAACATCCTGCCGCGCAAGAGACGTGATCAGTAAGGGATGTCGTCTTTCACTATTGTAATGTTGTTAAATAAAGAAAAACATTTTATATTTAAGTAACTAATAGCATATTTCTTAACTTGGACCTTATTCTTGAAACACAAAATTACCAATAAAAAGGTGTCAAGCACCAAAAGCAGCCCATATTAAATTTCTAAGCTGTCTTTAATTGAAAAATACGTATTTTCATGCATACTATATATGTGTGTGTGTGTGTGTGTGTATACACGGCCAACATTCAATTCAATTGTATTTTGTTTTCGTTTGTATTGTATTGTATTTCTTTGGAATTGTGTTTTCATTTTGTTTGTTTGGTTTATTGTAATGGCATTGAGCAATGTGCAACAATTCCCTTAAAAGTTTACCACAGAAGTGTGCTGATTGTAGTGTATCACTTGAAGGTGATTAACTAATTTATGGTGTGATTACCTGCTTGTGTATCGGCAGTGCTTAATTTGTAAATGAAATATTGCCGGATCAAAATCAGCAGTTAAAAGGCACCGTGACCGACACTGACAATACAACGTCAGTTTTCCCGGAACATTCAATGACGTCACTAAACGGTGACGTTATAAAACAGATATAATACAGATGTGAGGCAAACAAGTTCACGGAAAGGAAACCGAGAACCGAGATGACAGAACACGCATCCTGTTTGTTTGCTAATTACAAAAACACAAATGTTCTTTTTATTAGTGTGCAAAAATAAAAGTAAACATTTACATTTAGTCATTTAGCAGACGCTTCCAAAGCGACTTACAAATGAGGACAATGGAAGCAATCAAAATCAACAAAAGAGCAATGATATACAAGTGCTATAACAAGTCTCAGCTTAACGTAGTACACGTAGCAAGGTTTTTTGTAATTATATAGGCCTAATCAATAAAAAGAAAACAGATAGAATAGAAAAAGAATAGAGCAAGCTAGTGTTAGAGGCCTTTTTTGCTTTTGTTAATTGTAAAATAAATAAAAAGAAAAGAAATAGAATATAAAAAGAATAGAGAATCTAGTGTTAGTTTTTTTTTTATTATTATTAATTATTTTTAACACTTTGGGGGTTGTCTTTTACTCTTATCTGTATGACCAAAAATGGAGTATTTAATGTGTCAGCTGTTTGATCGCACTAGCGCCTCGCACGCGTACACACACCACCTATTCTAGCCATTCAAACTTGCCATCGCAGTCTGTTCATTATCAAAATAAAATACAGTCAGCCAAACGTATCAATATAAAGAGTCTGTAGTATAACCGGTTTACAGCTGCTGTTGGTCTACAGCATGGGTGTCCAAACTCAGTCCTGGAGGGTTATGAAGAGTTTAGCTCCAACCCCAATTAGTCACACCTGAAGCAGCTAATCAAGAACTAGAAACTTAAAGGCAGGTGTGTTGAGGCAAGTTGGAGCTAAACTCTGCAGGACACCGGCCCTCCAGGACTGAGTTTGGACACCCCTGGTCTACAGAGACCAACGGTACTTTCAGTTTCACTTTGTTTGGTTTCTTTAGCTTTATATATTTTTTTCATTCTTGATCTGTTCTGCATACCGTTACATTTAAATGATTTGTTTTGGAGTGAGGGGAACTAGGCTATGATTATAGTGTTTATACATTATAATATTTAACTTTATTTTGTATTATTTCTGGTATTATTACACCCTGCCCAAACGTTCAGCTGCTCACAAAAGAGTGGAGAGAGTGGGTTAAGCAGTAGCACTAATCAAGGAGAGCGATTTTGAACTTAAGAAAGCTGATTGGTCAATAATATGTTGAGGACCAATACATAATCTACAAATCATGCTACAAATATACATCAACATAAACCCGCAATCACTCTGTCTCGTATGCACGCACGCACTGTCATGATCTAATGCACTTGTTAATGCCGGACCTTTAAAAACAAATAGCCTACCAGAATGCAAAAATCCAAAATCTGACATTTTCCGGAACAGGATCCGGCTCAAATTAAGCACTGTGTATCGGGGAGTATTGTGTGTATTGGGTTTTGTATTTAAAGAATTTATGACCTGCCTTGCCTAAGTGTATTCCATTATACCCTTTGTAACCTGTCTTGTTGTGATGCAAACTTATTAGCATTCATATGTATATGCAAGTGTAATAAGAAATAAAGTTTTATGTATTTTTTTTTTACATAAGCACCCACATTTAATTAAGTGAAAGTGACATGTGGCCAAGTATGGTATGGTGACCCATACTCTGAATTTGTGCTCTGTATTTCACCCATCCAAGTGCACACACACAGTAGTGAAAACACACACACCGTGAACACACACCTGGAGCAGTGGGCAGCCATTTGTGCTGCAGCGCCCGGGAAGAAGTTCACTCCCCCCACCGACAATTCCTGCCAGACCTTAGACTCGAACCCATGACCTTTGGATTACAAGTCTGACTCTCTAACCATTACTAATCCCGTATTTTCTAATAATATTACCAAGGGGCAACATGTATATTGAAAATAGCAGAGGACCCAGGACAGATCCTTGTGGCACTCCATACTTTACTGGTGATAATTGAGATGACTCCTAAGTGGTAGCGATTGGACAGGTAGGATCTAAACCATCTTAAATACTCATAAATCGATTACAAAATTATACAGGTATGTCATGATCTTAGTGCTGCGTTCGACACTATAGATCAAGTAAAACTAGCAAGGAGATGCAGCCTTGGTCTGTGTCACAATCCACTAGAGAGGAACGAGGAGACGCTGGAGAATATTTTAACAAGACTTTTAATTCCATGAACCAAGGGAGACAAACTCAGGATGATGTTTAACAGCGGACAGAGAACTTGGGACTGGGAACACTTTAAATACACAGAACAGGATGACAAGACACTCCTGGGATCAATGGAAATTAAACATGGGAAACACCTGTGAAGAAATCAACAATACACAGACAAAACATGGAACAGAGTCTGACATAACGCCCCCCTCCGGAAGGCGTGTCCTCACGCCATATAACATCCAACGGGGAAGGGGGGTGGGCGCTCTGGAGGTCTCTCAGGACAGACACGGGAGGCCATGGCGGAGCAGGGGACTCGGGAGGCCATGGTGGAGCAGCCTCCGAGGCCGCGGCCCCAGCCCATGCCTCGGCCTCTACAGCTGGAGCCTTACTACCCCCAAAAATACTTGGGGAAATTTACAGGGCTGTACACGGGGCCTGAAGCCCTCCCTGGGCTTAACGGGGGATCAGGAGTCCTCCATGGGCTTAACGGGGGATCAGGAGCCCTCCCTGGGCTTATCGGGGAATCAGGAGCCCTCCCTGGGCTATACTCGGGAACAGGAGCCCTCCCTGGGCTTAACTGGGGAACAGGAGCCCGCCCTCCCTGGGCTATACTCGGGATCAGGAGCCCTCCGTGGGCTATACTCGGGATCAGGAGCCCTCCGTGGGTTTAACTGGGGATCTGGGTAGCACTTACGTGGTGCTGGCACTAGAGGGTGCTCTGGAGGAGCAGGCACAGCAAAGAGCTTTCGAGGAGCTGGACGGGAGTGAGTTTTGGGGCTGGAGCCGACACTGGAGCGAGCTCCACATGGACATCCGATGGGCTTGCCACATTAACGTCCGGCGGGCTTGCCACATTAATGTTTAATGGGCTTGCCATATTAACAGCCGACTGAATTGACGGGATCGGAGACTCTCCAGACACCGGATGACTGTCTCCTTCCAGTCGAGGTCGGTCGTGTCTGGGAGCTCCGTGGGATGATGGAACGTCATCCCGATCCGGAACAGCGTCGCGAGGGTTTCCCCCTCGAGGGAGCTGGTGAGGGCAAGCGGCACAAACGCCCTTGCGAAGACGATAGGGTCTGGGCTCGCTTGAGCCACTGTGATGAACAGTGCTCGTTCCTCCATTATGGCGGTGAGAAACGCACGGGAAAAAAACAAAAACAAAACTCTTTTCAGAAAACCAAAAAACAAACGGGGAAAAAGGCGCCGCTCACTTTCTGTATCGGTCCGCTGTTCTGTCACAATCCACTAGAGAGGAACGACGAGACGCTGGAGAATACTTTAACAAGACTTTTAATTCCATGAACCAAGGCAGACGAACTCAGGATGACGTTTAACAGCGGACAGAGAACTTGGGACTGGGAACACTTTAAATACACAGAACAGGATGTATGCACAGTTACAAAACATTACACATGGTCTCCAGTTTGCATTAATTGTTACTGCAGGCATTATAGATTAGGAAATATTAAAACTGTAGCCAACCGTAGTTACAAAATAAAACAGAATATATAAGCATTTTAATATTGTTATTACTTCATGGCTACATTATAGCTTTCCTATATATGT